ATCAATGAACATTGCAGCTAGATTGTTCACTACGAGATCTGGAATCACAGTCCGTTGATCACTTTTTGGGTTGGAAGGGGATGGGAGGAATAGAGAGTTGTAAGAATGTATAGGGAAAGAGGGTTGGTAGAGGGTTCATGAATCTTTGCATATCAAGGCGTTTGGGAAAGGAGCAAGAATGCCTGGAACAAAATGGACTGGGCGCCCTGCATATTGGTTGCGTTTGTCCGCAGCAGGGATGGGAGGAAGGGGGAGCAGCCAGCCAGTGAGCGAGCGAGCGATTGAAATTTGGGCGCGCTGTTTTCAGGCAGATCTGGTGTATCATAGCTAGATTTCCCGAGAGATGATGGATGTGGGTGGAGAAGACAAAAATGAAAGAAGATGAATAATGAAGAACCAATCTGTTTGATACTGGTCTTGGTCATGCTTCTTTCTGCCCGAAGGGCTCTGCCCCGTCTCTCCATGCATATCCTGACATCTATTTCCGTTTGTAGGTCTTGAGATGGTTCGATTCTGATGTTCATGCCTTTGCGCCGTCCGATGCCAGTGCCCAGCTTCCTTCTACAGTGTTGTACAGCCATTTTATACACCTTCCCATCCTGCCTTTAATGTACAGTAGAGAGTAGAGTGAGTATAGCTTCAATTCGTAGATATTTCCAGCAAGCCAATGAATCCTATGCTACCTCGGTTTATCAACCACAACCGCTCCATCATGTACACTCTGCACTTTCTTATATTCCTCCTCCAAGGCCCTCTGCATGTCGAAATCTAACTGGCGCTCCTTCTTCAATCGCTGCTGTTCCATGTCTCGTACGACGCCTTGATGCATTGCCTAGAGAGAGAAAGGTGTGTTAGTCTCACCAAAGTGCAGGATAGAAGTGGGAAAGGGGAAAGCAGTGCCAGTGGAAAGAGGGTGAGGCGGATGAATGTGCTGAGTACATACAGCTTTCTCGGCTTGTTGGCCGTAGTGCACGAAGAAGACTGTTGCGATAGCGAAGAGCGATGTGCCCGCGAGCGTGAGTTTGGCTGGGCGCGACATCTGTATGATTTGACGCCTCCAACAACAACTTTTCAATCTCAATATATCGTCTGGAGCTTCCAATGGCGCATTGCGAGCTGTTTTGCAGTGGGTGTTGAGGTCAGTGGTAAGTAGAAAGAAAGTACGATGTTGACGGAGGATGCCGAGCAGGGGTCTGGAGCTGCAGCTGTCTCTCGTCGGAGGGAGCTGGTCTGGGCTGGGCAAGGCAAGGCAAGCTGGACTGGATCCTCAATCTGAACATCCCGCGATAACGAACGAGCTCCTTCAACACCCACCACGATACCCCGAGTTAACCAGACAAAGGAGGATTGCAAGATGGTATGATCTCTCTACAGTCAACATACATTGCGATACAATTATGCGAGCATTGGCTAATCAGATGTGATGTTCTATAGTCTGCACAAAACTCCGCAGGTATCCAGACCCTGCTCGATGTACGTATCCCACGGCGGCTGCTGGAGCTTGGGCTCTTGGGAAGGAGATACCGGTGCTGGTCATGATGCTGATGATGATGGTTGGATAGGCTGAGAGGGAGGCGCAGAAGATTGTTCAGATAGGTAAGTTTGTCTGCCTGTTCTGGTTTGGTCTTATGGCTGGGAATTGGAATTGGAAATTGATTGATGGATTGTTGCTAACTATTTGGTGTATAGCTAGAGAATGTGAGGAATTCCCAAGAGAACATACAGCACATCTGCTACGGCTTCGAGGAAGGAGGAGAGCTAATTGGAGTAGACCGCACGAAGCGCGTAAAGGAAGCCAGAGACGAGGCAAAGAAGGAGATTGATGCGTATAAGAAGTCGAAGGATGATGAGTTCAAGAAGTTCGAGTCTGAGGTACGATTGGTGGCATTCTTCCTCTCCAGAATCCTCTAGCAGACATGCTATTGGAGGACTACTGTACTGATACGGACTTCTAGCACACCAGCGGCAACAAGAAGGCCGAGCAGGACGCGAACAAGGATGCCGAGATCAAGATAAAGGAGATTCATGTCGCTGGCAAGAAGGGACAAGATGCTGTCGTGCAGGATCTGTTGAATGCGGTCTTCGATGTCAAGCCTGTGGTTCCAGAACGTATCGAGGCTCCAAAATAAGCTGGTTGATGCCTTGAGGGAGTAGGGATGTCTTTGGGATTGGCTGGCTTGGGTTCGGAGAAGGCATCGTCAGGGGGCTTTGATTGCTTGGGAACTCGATGAGAGAGAGAAAGACGGACAGAGATCGCTGTATAGAGTATTTTGCAATTCAAGAAGATATCCCACCCGAGTTTCGAGCTACTGGATCTATCGCTTGTTGCGATGTTGGTATCGGCTCTTCAGGCCGCGAACGCCACATATTTTCAAACATAGTTGGTAATATTTCAAAACACTGCAGTACTCGAAATGTCGTGTGATAATAAATTTACTAAACTGTTGCGTTTTCAATTGACTATCCAAAATCACATGCTTCACTGACTCGGGCCTGGTGCATTTCACTTCTCAACGACGTCACTGCTCCATCGCGAAAACCAAACCATCAACACCACAACGCGCCTTCCTCCCTCCCCTCCCTCACAATGGCATCTCTACACCAACACATTCAACCCCAATGCATAGCCCACAGCAATGACAACACCAGTAGCAGCTCGTGTGGCACGCACGAGATGGCTTCTCCAAAATGTGCCTCGTCGCCCTCACACACGCCCTACGACTATCCTTAATCCCCCCTCTGCGATCCTATACAAACCAATGTCCCTCCCGCTGTCTACGACCTGCTGCTGCTGTTCTTTGGAGAAGAAAGGGAAAGCTGAGAATGTTAGGAGTGTGAATGTGAATCCTGGGGAGCAGAAGAAGAAGACGGAAAGTGATCCAAGGATCAACGATCTCGGGAGGGCTATTGAGGATGATTTTGCTACGATTAGAGAGACTTATGGTAGGCATACCCACCACTCCTCTCTTGCAAGGCGCTTGAAGTTATTGGAGGAAGGATTGGGGAGAGACATAAAAGCAAAGCTAACACACCCAGCAACTCCCAAACACCCAATTGTCCTCGCCCACGGCCTCCTAGGCTTCGACGAACTCCGACTCGCAGGTTCTCTCCTCCCAGGGGTCCACTACTGGCGCGGTATTACGGACGCCATGCGCGCGAACGGCATCGAAGTAATAACCGCTTCAGTCCCAGCATCCGGCAGCATCGAAGAACGAGCCCTCAAACTCGGACAGGACATAGCATCCAAAGCGAACGGCAAGAGCGTCAACATCATCGCACACAGCATGGGCGGTTTGGACGCGCGCTACATGATCTCTCGTCTCAAACCAGACAATGTCAACGTCCTCTCCCTGACTACGGTAGCGAGTCCACACCGCGGGTCCAGCTTTGCGGATTATGTGTTCCAGGAACTTAGGCCGTCGTATCTGCCGCGTGTGTATAGGTGGTTTGATAAAGTGGGCATTAGTACTGGTGCTTTCAAGCAGTTGACGACGAAGTATATGCGCGAGGAGTTCAATCCTAAGACGCCGGATGTTCCTGGTGTAAGGTACTTTTCGTATGGAGCGACCGTGCAGCCTAGTCTCTGGAGTGCATTTCGGCAGCCGCATAGGGTGGTGGAGAGGATGGAAGGTGCGAATGATGGGTTAGTGAGTGTGGAGAGTGCGAGATGGGGGACGTATAAGGGAACGTTGGTTGATGTTAGTCATTTGGACTTGATCAATTGGACGAACAGGCTGAGGTGGGTAGTGTGGCAGCTGGTGGGCAATGAGAGGAAGTGAGTTCTTGCTTCCCATCCTGAGATTGAGATCATGCTGACTAGGAAAGGTTTAATGCTATTGCTTTCTACTTGGATATTGCGGATATGCTTTCAAAGGAAGGATTATAGAACAGGGAGCTGGCGAGTCTCGTCCTACAGGAATTGGTAGGCTGTGGCTACTGAGGGACCCGGATATGGAACTAGAACCAATAACCAGGTCGAGCATAGACATAACTTATGAAGCAGAAACAGAACTGTAATGCCGAAGAGAGGAACCCTAAATGAAATACCCTCCTCAAATCCCTTTGTGTTTTGACTTACTAGTCTTTTCCTTCTGCTTCCGATTGTGCTTCTTTTACTCTACCTCTTCTCTTAGTTTGCTACCAGAATCCATGGAACTCAAGGGAGGGAAATAATGAAAGATTTTCTTTTGTCTTTTGCCAAGTCATGCCTGTCTTTTTGGTGACTTGAAAGGCTGATTGAAAACTCATGATTCGAGAGCTACACAGGTATCGTTCACTGTAAAGAAAACACAATGTCAGAGCCAAAGAGAGATGCTTGAAACAAGAAGCTATTTTGAAATCAGACTTCCAAGTAAGATGAGAAGAGAGACAATCAGTGGGGCTTATTGACAAAGCTTGGTTCAATTATTAGTACTATTTGCGCTTATTTCATTGAATTGCGAGACGTTCAGGCCAAAGCATGAATTGAGTGAGAAGCCAGCTTGAGTGATCTTTCTACTACCGATGCTGGGGTTGCGAGTCAATTACTATCCACTGTGGAAGCAGTGTCCCGGGCCTGTCTTGAGACGTTCAGAGGAACGATTATATCCATGGTTGTGTTTTCATCACTGGGTGGGCGGTGGTAGTGGTGCAGGGTAGGCAGGGTTGAGAGTCCTCGCTTAAATGTTTGGATATGGGAAAATAAACAAAAACACAAATTGGAACAACATGCAACGCGCCGGGCAAAAATGATTCAAATAGGATGCACACACCCCTAGGGAAAGAAATGGCAGGTGTGAATGGAGTTTGGAAACTTTTTGTTTTAGTAATGAATTTGGATAGTTAAAGGTTGCAAGAATAACAAATCTTTCACTAGCTCAACGCGTTCATCTTCTTCGTTCACTGACGACGAGAGGAATTCCCTTTTGTTCCTGCTACCCGCTCCTCCTCTCGGCAAAACCTTTGAACCGGCCAGCCAAAAAAGTTTAATTCGAAAAAAGACAAAAAAAAAATTTAAACTTTGGTCAAACTAGGAATCGAACCCAGGTCTCACCCAGTTGCCCCAACCAACCATCAGGTAACGTAAAGCCCGTTAAAGCATGAGTAACCAAAATCGAGAGGGAAGGAAGACAAGGCGGGCGTGTTCTAAACCACTGAACTACTCGACCTTTGTGAAGATGCTCGAAGGAACTGTATTTAGTTACTTGAGGGAGGGAAAATTTTAGGGGGCTCGAATGCCAAATTGCTAGGGGCAGGGGTTGTTTGGGTTTGTGACTGGTGGGCAGGATGGAGACACTGGTGGATTGAGGGTGGCGCTTGGATCTAGGGAGGATGAGGATAGGATTGGGGCGTATCTGGGGTGAATTGGGGGTGATGGTGGAGGGATGGGAGGGGGATGGTGTGTTAAGGTGGGCTTTTTAGAGGTGTTCTTTATTCATGACACTGTCTCAGTGGGTGATTTAGCTGCACGAGGACCTTTTTGTTCTTGTTCATAACGTTGTAGATCACTTCCATATGTTTACATCAAGGCATAACGCGTCTTTCTCGTGTGTTTATATTATTAAAAGAAATGCTGGTGGGTGTTGTTGGCAGTGGATGATAGTGAAGGGCAGGTCAACAAAGCAACTAAATGAGATAACCTCCCAGGGCAAGTATAAATATTTGTCTTGAAGCTGTAGAGCTTGATGGCCAACAAAATAAGGGGTTAAAATAGCTATACTGGTATGGCTTTTGGGACTGTGTTTCTGGGATCGGGACTTTGGCAGCTTGCTGGTCAACATAGCATCCAGCGATAAAATAAATGTCTACTTGCTACCTTCTCAAAAAATCGCATAAACTACACTGCCAGATAGATAAAGTTCTTGCCAATATTCTTACTATTTACTTTAGATAATATAAGAGCGAGTAGCAATGTATATCCTCCCAACTTCAATGTTATCAAAGTCGCAAGAATTAGACGGCATTTCTTTCTACAGAGACAAATACACAAGATCGCCAAATCCGCTTAAAATACAACAGACAATTCGCCAATACCCACATCCTTCTGGGGTGGCGAATATTTGACCTCATCAAACAGAATCGCCAACTTCAAATTCGGAAGTTTTTGCCACAACGTTGCTATCTCAAGTCAGTGCCAGTTCTAAAGTCAGCAGCGGCACCATGAGGACTCACCGAATACAATTTCCAACTCGGCTCGAGCCAACCACTCAGCTACACATCTATAACAGGCAAATCAGCGATTGCTATCTTCCATGTCTCGGGATTCAATGATGCCTCCCGATTTTCAATCTTAAGAAACAAAAATGGGTCGGATAAGCTGACCTATGCGGACCCCACCCATACCCCAACGCCTCCTCGCTTCCCCTCACACGCTTCATATCGAACTGATCAGCCGTCTCACCAAAAACCTCCTCGTCACGATTCCCACTCTGCGTAGCAGCAATAATACCCTCTCCAGCTTTAATCAACTTCCCACCATACTCAACATCCACCTTCGCAACTCTCTTCGTCGCCAAAGCAGACGCAGTGTGGAATCTACACAGCTCCTCCACGAGCGGCGCTGTCCACTTCTCCGGATCCTGTTTCAGAGACTCGAGTTGATCGGGATGTTCGAGGAGCGTGACGACGCCGAGTGCGATCATGGACACCATTGTTGCGTTCCCGGCGACAAGGAGGAGGAATGCGATCTGTACTACGTCGGCTTGGGTTAGGTGGCCTGGGATGAGCTGTTCTTTCACGAGAAGGGAAATCAAGTCTTCTTTGGGTTCGGAAAGTCGAGCTGTTACCAGCGAGTCCATGTAGGATAGGAGAGCGGCGTTTGCGTTTGAGGCTTCTGTTGCGGTGCCTGAGCCATTAGAGCGAATAGCGGCGAAGTTGGTGAGCTTTGGGAGATCGGCGAGGGGAACACCGAGGATGCTGTAGATTGTCTGTTTGGTTGAGAGTTAGATGTGATCTCGCCTCCGAAATGGGAATGTTTTAGAAAGGGGAGAGTACATAAGATGGAACCGGCAAAGCAAACTTCTCCACGAAGTCGAAGGGTTCGGATCCTCCTTCAGTGATCATCTTGTCGAGGAGGGTGTTGACTGTCTCCTGGATCTGGGGGCGCATGCTATCGATGTGTTGTTTCGTGAAGATGGACTCCACCATGCCTCTTTGCTGCATATGCTGGGGCGGGTCCATGTCGACGAAGGTAGGCTTGTTTTTGGCTGCTTCTTTACCGCCTGCCGATAGTTCCGGGAAACCTGGTCTGTTGCGTTGCTGATTGATGTTAATTTATAACTATGTAGGAATAGTTGTATTGAAACTTGATACATACTTTTGAGAGTCTCTCGTCAGTGAGAACTGCGCAAATATCTTTGTGCTTGACGATCAGCCATGCGAGACTGCCATCGAAGAGTTCAACTTGAGAGACTGGGTCTGTGGCTCGTAGTTGAGCATATTCTAGTGCTGGAGTGGTTCCTGATGGACGAGCGAAGGGAAATTTGGGGGGTGTTGATGCTGTAACAGACCCCATTGTGAAGGACTGGAAATTGAACCGTTAAGGGATAACTTAATGATTTGATGTTGATTATAGGTGTGTGTATCTTGCAATCGTTAGAGAAGTGAATGGAGACGAATCTCCCATCCGAATCTTCTCCTCCCTTTATATGCAAGCATCTCTCCGCGGACTTGCACTTCAATGACGCTTCACGAACCTCACTTGCATATTGTAGGATCCATACCTTGGCAAGGCAGAAGATTCCCATGACTAGGTCCCAATCAGCATGTGTTCATAACAAATCATACGATCACCACGTTTGTAAATCTCAGCCCTGCAACTCCGGACGCTGTCATTGGATACTTCCAAAGCATGTTCTGCAAGCTCCTCTTTCTTTTTCTCCAGGGTCCCTTGCTCATGTGCGTAATCGTTCCACTGCAGAATCAATCAGCAAAAAATATGCATTGCATATGTAATACCCCAGACTTCTCCTGGTGACCCGAATGGAGTCTTGGCAGAAATCTGCATATCCTATTCTCCATTGCCGAGTACCCATGGAGATGCAAGATGTGGGCGACTTTGTCAGCAGGTATTACACTACATACGAGATGAAGAACTAGGCATCGAATGAGGAGACTATTTGCAATACTTTCATAGAAGGCAAGGAGGGCGGGAAGCTGCAAGCACCAGCAAGAAAGTCTAGCTGCTCATCCCTCTTTGGAAGTTGCTGCACCTTTTGGGCATTTTTAAGAGATGGGTTCAGTGGTAGGACTTGATTATTCCTTACTCATCCGGTCTGCATATACAAAAGCACTTGTCGCATCATGGCTTAGGCTGTCTCAATGAGCAAGGGGACTAAATGGCTCACTGACGCTGGGCTTTTTGGTATCTTCCATTCTGGCACGACAACGGGTTAGAATGCTAGACGATCTTTTCGAAAGTGGGGAAATGCATTGTGTGCAAACTTTTTATTTGAGGTCGTAAGTGCAGCGAGTGTTGTTGCCGGTGGATGTACAAGTTCCTGGGCCGCTCTCAGTTGCTCGCAGTATTGACCTGGGTGGCTGAAGGGGTTTGTTTCCAGGTCGTAATTGCTCACATCTCGTGCCGTAAAAGCCTTCAGATCTCAATCAATTGCCTTGAATTGAATATTGATGCCGTGGACGTTTTGCGTCTTCTTCTTGGCCTTCCTCCAACCTTGAGTTCCGGGAGTTCTTTCCTCATTGGCTCCCCAAAGTTCGGCTTCTCTTTCTCTCTCACAAGTACATATGGGTCTCGGTCTGGCCTTTTCTATCTCTGAATCGTTCGAGGAGGCTTGTTTGTCAAAATCTTCACAATTCTGACAGCACCTTGGGTCTCCCAACTCGCAACGTTCGCAAACAACGAGGACAAGATGACAGCCTTTCGATCGACACTTGCTGAGTCTATCGCAGGAATTTCGGCACATATGACATGTCGATACCGGCTCCGTCGCTGGGGATGTATCCAACCCAGTTGAGCCTCTCGCATCGAAGACGTAGTTCCTTCCTCGAAACAGCGAATCCTCAGGGCACTTCTTCCCTGATTTGATCTCATCATCCATCCAAGTCAAATAAGCAGCGATGCCACCATTCAGCGTACACACCCTATCCCCGTCATCCTTCTCCATGTTCTCCTGCAGAAACCTCGCTCCTTTCTCACATCTTATCCCACCAGTACAGTAAGTCATGATCTGTCTCGGTCCAGTTGTCTTACTTGCTCCTGGCCCACTCATCTGCTTCTTCACATATTGCGGCCATTGTGAGAACCTTCTGATCGCAGGTCGCAAAGCCGCCTCGCCAGTTTTCGGGTCAACAAAATATCCAATGCGTGATTCGTAATGATTACGGACATCAAGAAGCATCGTAGCAGGATCGCTATGGCATCTCTCGTGGAATTCCTCTGGGCTCAGGCTCTCGATCTGGTCCCATTGAGCTGGGACATAATTCGTAACTCCCATCGGTGTGATCTCTGATGTCACACGAACGCTGGCCGGAGAGCCACCAAAAACACATGCGCATCCTCCAGGCGTTGGTTTAAAGAACTGACGTTGTTCCTCTGGAGTGGATAAGTCCAGTCCAGAGAATGACCAGTGTGAAATACACTCTTGCATGTACTCTTCGATGGCAATTTTCGTACCGCCCACCGTGATATTAAACCCTTCGTTTGCTATGCGAATTTTGCCTCCTATGTTGAGCTTTTCCGTAGAGGCTGTGTGAAATTCAACAAGAGAGGAGCTTTTGGCTCGCAAGGTTTGGTAGGGAGTGGGAAGAGAAGGGGAGGCATCGAAATAACGGTAAAAGAGAAGAACGAGTCCATCACCAGACTGTGAGGCTGCGCAAGTGCATGTGAATGCAACTGGATCAGACGATCCGGTAGGAAGTCGTGACTCTTTCATCTCGACTGGCATGAATTGTTGAGAAGATGTGTGGAACCGACAACGACCAGGGCTAGAAGATGTGAAAAGAAACAGAAAACCGGGCCATTGTATCACGTGGTCCACACCTGATATGCAGTGCTTCTCTTCTGCCAATGTTGGACAAAAGAAAGCATAACGGGCCGTCAAAGAACCAAGGCTTTGAACTTGAATTCTTTGAACCTGCTGATGTAACGGAAGTCTCCTAGGTACAAAAGTTCCGCTCTACAAGGAAGCATATGTTGCGACCCACAGATGAA